ATTTTGATTCCAATAAGGTAAAACTTAGATATCATTTACATTTAGTCTTATTATAAAACATTAAATTATAGCTGAATATCCTATAGATATATATGCATATCAATATAGATGCACTTCTATGGATTTCAAAACAGAAACAGCAATTCACTCACATTATAAAGCTAGGAAGAGCCAGGACATTTCTTAATATAACTCTGATTGTATTGTATCTGATTGATAAGCAGCTTTGGAGAAAGTGTATGAATCCATATTACAATCTAGAGTGATCTGTTATCAGTGGAAACTCAGTATTTCAGAAATGTACAAACACAAAATCACAGTTAAATCAAAAATCTATTCATTTAAAGAGCACCTATCATGGATTTTTAAAAAGACTGTTCATGTAGTGTGGAATATAGCTCTAAGGGAATGAAAACATCCTGCAAAGATTTATATCTGAAAGTGCACCGTATATAAAGTTATTGTCTTTCAAAAGTGAGAGTCGACTCTGAGTCTATGAAATGAATTGTTTTTGAAACGATTCATTAGCTGTTACATCGTGACGTAGATAGGTCATTGCCCGTTCCCAACAACTGCGCGTGCATACGGGAGTGTAAACTTGAAGTGACGTCTAGAACACTTTCAAAAACTTCAGCTGAATTGCAGACGCTGTTTTCTACATTGCAAAGACAGTTCACCCACTTGTTTTCATTGCCCAGGGACGAGCATGTGAAGAATCAGTGGTCAGAGTTGATATTTGCAACGATACAACAGTAGCCCGAGCCTTGTGTTCTCATCATTTTAATGACGAATCATTCAAAATTCAAAAACCTAAATTAATTCATATGTGGATTCGCAAGCCGGTTGTTCCCGAAGGAGGGCTCAGTATCCAGTGTATAAGGATCAGGTTCGTGCTCCTCTGAATCACAATCTGTAAGTATTATTAATAATGTTGTTTTGTTTTCTGTATTATGCACAATATAGTTATATTGTTTTGTGTGTGTTGTGTACACTCCGCGCAGCTTCTAAGTGGGGTAAAGTTAGTTTTGTTTTTGATATTCACCAGACATTCATTGAAAAATGGCAATTACCTCCTAAACGACTAAGCCAAAAATGACTTCGCTCTATACAGTGTTGTGTGTAACGCGTTACAAAGTAACGCGTTACAGTAACGTAACTACTTTTTCGGGTAAAAAGTAGTGTAACGCGTTACTACTAAAAATTTGGTAACGAAATGTAGTTTCTTTTTAAATTCGGCGCAACGTTACTTTCCCCATGGAAAAATTTGACAGCGACACTTTTTTCCCAGCTGCGCGCTTGCGCGCGCAATACTCACAAACACGGTAGCAACGGACAGAGGCTGTAGCAGACTCAGAGCAATCATGGCAAGCGAGAAGCAGCCAACGCTAACTTTTGAGGGATGGAAGTATTCCCACTACTTCAAACTCGTTGAAACTAAGGGGAGGAATGTGAGTGTAAGGTGCACACTGTGTCCTGGCGAGAAACTTTTGTCCACCGCCGTTAACTCAACTGCGAACCTCAGCAAGCATTTGAAAGGAAAACATGCTAACATGAAGCTTGTCGCTCAAGATCCCCGGGGAAATGATGATGTGTCGATTCCAACTCCAAATAAGCAGCTAAAACTTCATTTTCACCACCAGGAGGTAACTAAACAAGAGTTGGACAAACTTGTCGCTTCGTTCATCGTCGATGAAATGTTGCCCATCAGTACTGTCGAATCTCCCACTTTCAGAAAGATACTAAGCAAAATACCAATAACAGGAGACAGGCGGCCATGGTCAGATCGTAGAACTTTCACGGGCTATCTGGACGAATGTTATCTAAAAATGGAGACTGAATTAAAGAAAACGTTCGAAAGTTTGCAGTATGTGTCAACCACTGCGGATATATGGAGTAGCCATAACAGAAGCTTTCTGGGAATCACCGTGCATTGGATCAATCCACGCAATTTGAATCGTGAGAAAGCTGCCATCGCATGCAAACGAATAAAGGGCAGGCATACATATGATGTTGTTGGCTTTGAAATGGAACAGATTCACTCAACGTTTGGCCTTTCACATAGGATCACCGCCACCGTTACAGACAACGGGTCGAATTTTGTTAAAGCTTTTAAGATGTATGCACGCCCTGAGCCTGACGAAGAGGAAGAGGAGGAGGATGCAGAGCAAGGTGTAGTTTTCACAGATGTGGAAGAGTTGCTTGGGACCACAGAAGGACAGTTTTCTCTTCCCCCGCATTTTAGGTGTGCTTCGCATACGCTCAATTTGATCTCGTGCAATGACATCGACAAATGGCTGTCATCTAATACTGACTCAAAATCTGTGTACAGGAGTGCAACGGCGAAGTGTGCTGCTCTTTGGACAAAAGCAAGCCGTTCTACCATGGCCTCTGAGATTGTCGATGAAATCTGTGGGAAAAAAATGATCGTGCCTACATCAACAAGGTGGAATTCCTTCCACGATGCCTTGTCCCGTATCAGTGACATCCCGGCCCAAGATTTGAATACGCTTTGTACTAGACTGGATATCAGAGGCCCGACAGAGCGCGAACATCTATTCCTAAAGGAATACTGCAGTGTTTTGAAACCACTGACAGTAGCACTGGATATCTTGCAAGGTGAAGATAATTGTTACTATGGTTGTCTTCTACCAACCCTGGAGACCCTGATGTCAAGGACGCTCGCACTCCAAAATGGACTATCAAGGATGACAGCAGACCTACCGGGTGTAATTGTACAGGTAAGCCAATTCTTAATAGCCTATCTGAAAGTAAGTAACAGGCCTACGTGTTGTATCCTAGTCATTAAAAAAACCAGATTTAGTTTCATATTTATGTAAAAAAAAAATTTTTTTTCATCTATGTTGATAATATGAAAAGTGAAAACCATGAGTAAGATCATAATTTTGCGTAATATATCGGGAGACAAATGGAGTGGGCAGACATGATTTTGACTACTTCACCGTTTTTTTTTTTTTTTTTGTAGAAAGCCTTTCTTTAAAGTTAATTTTTTTTTTCATAAATTCTATCTTAATTTCAATCAATGTTTTATCAACCAATTGGGGTTCGTGTCGTGTGTATTACACGCAAATGAACTGCGTATCAAATGCACGCAAAAACTGCGTATCATATGCACGTGAAAACTCATTTTCGCGTATAAATTGCACGATAATACACAATGCGTGCTATAGAGAGGCATTTCTGAAAACTAAGCTTGTCTTCTATATTATTTCGTCCTCCTAGGCTATCAAGACGCGATTCGCACCGGTGTTGGAGAGCAGGGAATCTTTATTGGCTGCCTTGACGTTGCCAAAATTTAAAGTTCGTTGGATAGGGGGAGCGGAGCGGAGAGAAGCGGCACGTGCCCTGCTCATCGCGGAGTGCCGCACTCTACCCCATGTTGCAGAGCCGGCTGAGAATAAAAACAGAGAGGTTGCCGCACACAGCAGCGCCAATGAGAAGGACTTTTTTGCTTTTGATGAGGAGGAAGATGCAATGGCCTTTAGCGCAGACTCAGAGGTACTTGAATACATGAGATCAGGCTCAGAGATAGAAACTCTCAACCGTTTCCCCCGAGTAAAAGCTGTGTTCATGAAGTACAACACTGCCACACCATCCAGTGCACCAGTGGAAAGGCTGTTCAGCCTGGGAGGTCTTGTGCTTACCCCCAGAAGAAACAGACTTTCAGATAAACGGTTTGAAAGACTGCTCCTGATGAGGTATAATCACCCATTTTCTGCAGTTGTGGAATAGGTTGCCTGCCACCCATGCTATAAACAACCCAAGCCTATGCCCAATATCCTCTTTTATCTGCCATCAAACTGTGAAGAAGGACCAGCATATTTAGTTAACAAAGCCTTTTTAATTCTGAGGCTAGTCATCCTTTAAGTTGTGCTTGATTTTATTTTGGCTAAAATGTCTTTGCCTCTAAGCTGTATTATGCCATTTTATTTACACAAGCCATCAACATCAAGCCATTTTTAAGTTTTTTTATTTTTTTTGTTGGATTTAGATGAGGCATGAATGTTTTATTTTGAGACATATTTGAGGTTACCGTGTTGTTCCCAAGGAGCCTTGATACTATTTTTTATAATAAAGAGCACAAAAGAAATAACTGTTATGTCATCCATAGTAGAACTTTATGTAGGCCAACACATTTAGGAACATATATTGGGTTCTGCCCAAAGTCAAGGAACATAAAAGTAACGTAAAAGTAACGAGTAACGTAAAAAGTTACTTTCCAAAGGGGGTAACTAAGTAAAGTAACAGATTACTTTTTTAAAAAGTAACGAGTAACGAGCAAACACTACTTTTTAAAAGTAACTTCCCCAACACTGGCTCTATATAATAAGCACTGCCCCTCAAAAGCCGCCGCAATGTGAGTTTCGCCGGGAAAGCTCGCTCTTGACGGAGACGCGAGTAAGGGGCCGTGTGGAAAGTGCACTTTTTCTGACACGTTTGTTCAAACACTATTTTCAACACTTGACAAGCTATAATCCTGGTTATGGGCGTTCCGTTTCCGACAATCTCTGCCTACGGTTTACCAATAACAACTGACTGGGTCATTTGACCAATCGCCGCAGATTCGCGTCACTCAAAGGAGGTGTTTGGGAAAATGAATCATCGAACGAATCATTTGGGAGTCGTTGAGCAAATCAGTTAAAAATAAATGCATATTATAAGACAAATAAAGTGTTTTTTATCCTTGCATGCACGTTAAACTGTTTTTGGGAACTCCTAAAACCAAAATAGGAACATTTCAAATGCTATGATTGGGGCTCTTTAAAGAATGTAATAATTTTATGCAGAATTTTATGCAGAAACAATGAGCTCAATTGAAGTAATGAATACTTGTTTGATATTAGCCTGAAGGAATAAAGTCATGTACACCCAGGATGGCTTGAGGGTGAGTAAATCATGGGCTACTTTTCATTTTTGGGTGATCTGTCCCTTCAATATCAGAGATATGGCTCAGTGTTGATAGATATCTCACACACACACACCTTGTCAGCGTTGTCTGCGGCAAGCAGGTTGGTGGCGAGCGTCTGCAGCTTGTGTTGGGCCATGTTCTTGAGTGCAGCCAGACTGCGGCGGGTCATGGCCTGCTTCAGGTTCACCGCCGGGTGATTGAGGGAGTCCAGAGCCGCCGGGACCACCTCGTCACACGCGTTCAAGATCTCCACTGCTGTTATTCCCATCACACAGCGGTCCAGTGCTCCTGGAACACACACACAAACACACACACTCATGAACAACACAATCAAAACATCTGCCTCAAGGTTATTATCACTAAAACTAAAACCTTAAAAAAGTGTGCTACACTCATCAAACAATGATACAGCTTATGTGTGTGTGTGATAGTATGTTTCGAGTGTGTGTGTGTGTGTGGACATTTTGGACAATATAAAAAAATATTACGCCAATGGAGAGTCCCCACAAAGATAGTGAACCAGACTGTGTGTGTGTGTGTTTTCTCTTCTACTCTGCTCCAATAATACCAGGCTGTAAGTGGATATATAAACACTAATGTGTCTAAAGCAGTGAGAGAGAGAGAGAGAGAGAGAGAGAGAGAGAGAGAGAGAGAGAGAGAGAGAGAGGGAGAGAGAGAGAGAGAGAGAGAGAGAGAGAGAGGGAGAGAGAGAGAGAGAGAGAGAGAGAGATTTAGATTTTAACAAACTTTTATTACAAAATCATTTCACAGTGTATTTACAATACAATATGCATAAATATTAAGAGCAGCTCCAACTCTCAATCATTGTGCAAAAAAACAAGTCACCTTCAAATACAGAGCACAATGCCTCATTGCAACACCAAATATCTTCAAAGGCAATGAGATCATCCATATGCTTGTAAAAAGCAAAATCAATTAGTATCCTAGCTTTCAACATGTTTGAAAACATAGCAACTACATTCTGCTCAGAATTTTGCTCAATTTTCCTTCTTCTACTAGTATAAATAGCCAACTTTGCTTGGCCCAACACAAAATTCAACAACTGACATACAAATCTATTTTTCAACACATATTTAAAACCAAAAATAAATAACACTGTCGAAAAAGTTTCATTACACCTCTGAAAAATACTTTCTAAAAGCAACAATAAAGGTTTTAATCTTGCACAGTTCACAAATGCATGAAAAATGGTTTCCCTTTCAGTACAAAAAGGACATTGAGCATCAACCTCAGAATTTAAAATTGAAACAAAAGCATTGACGGCGACAGCGCCGTGAAGAATTCTCCACTGTAAGTCACCTGTCTTTTTCGTCAACGGTGGTTTATAAAGTGCTCTCCACTCAGGTTTTCTGTCCACATTCAATGTAAAAAAGTCACGCCACGGGGTATCTCTTTTTTTATCTAGCATTTTTTTGTTAAACATAATGACACAATACTTATACAAAGTTTTCCCAGTACAAGAAAAAAAGTCTACACACAATGAATCAAAACTTTCTAAAAACACTCCAGAAACCTCTTCTAGGTTCAAAGAAAGAAACAAACAAGGAAAAGAGTCTTCAGGATTTGATTTACAGAGACCATCACGGCACTCAGTCAACAAAGTTCTTTCTGCTGTATTGAGAAGCGTCTGCCATTTCACCAATAGCTGCGCAACTAGACGGGTTGATCTAATTCCCAGATGTTGAGCCGTTGCTTCTTCATTCTTAAAATCAAGTCCTGCTATTTCCAGTAATTGCCTCAAAGTGGTGGTTTTACTGTCAATGAGTGTTTTGTTAAGTCCTGGGAAAAGGCCACCAGCAGACACATCCAGACGTGCTCCACGAACTAGAGGCTCTTCCAAAAGCCAATGAAGTGACTGTGAAACCTCTGCTTTTTTAAAAACAAAAAGACTCCAAACCTTAAAAAGGTTCTTATAGAACACTGGTAAACCAGAAGTGTTCAATTTTGTAGGGTCCAGAAAAAAAATTGTTTTTTCCAAACCCAGATCCTCAAGTTTACGTAAAATAACAAATGCGACAGAACACCATTTATATTCAATTGACCCAACAAGTAGTTTTTGTATGAGTTGCAACCGAAAAGTTGCGATTCTGCTGTGAAGATGTATTAGCCCCTGTCCACCCTCCTCCTTAGGCAAGAATAACACACTCTGTGGGACCCAATGCAATTTATCCCAGAAGAAATCTACCAAAATTGTCTGGATTTTCGCTAAAAGATGTGAGGGAGGATCAATACATGCAAACTTATGCCACAGTGAAGAAGCAACTAAATTATTTATAATTAAAATACGCCCTCTATATGACATCTTTGGAGTTAACCATCTCCATTTATCCAGATGACCTTTAACCTTTTCAATGACTCCTTCCCAATTTTTTTTCACTGTAACATCATCACCAAGATACACTCCTAAGTATTTAAACCCTGATTTTCCCCAACCTAAACCTTCAGGGAGATCTGGTGGTCTCCCACCTCCCCATTTACCTAATAATAAAGTTTCACTCTTGCTCCAGTTTACACTTGCAGAAGATAAACCTTTAAAAACATTAAGTAAACCTAACAAAACCTGTATGTCACTTTGCCTATTAACCATTACTATGACATCATCGGCATAAGCTGAAAGTATCATGTTATTTTTACAGTTTGGCAAACATATACCATGAAGTTTTACCCGTATCTGTTGTAAAAGTGGCTCTATTGCCAAAGAGTAGAGCATTCCAGACACTGAGCACCCCTGCCTTACACCTCTAAGAGCTTTAAAAGGAGCACATAAACCACCGTTCACTTTGAGAATACTCTCAACGCCACTGTAAAGAACTTTAATATGATTTATAAAATTTTGACAAAACCCAAAAGCCTCTAAAACTCTCCACAAATAGCAAAACTCAACACGGTCAAAAGCTTTCTCTTGATCCAAAGAGATTAACCCACAATCTAAATTTAACATCTTGGAGACCTCTATAACATCACGAATCAATGAAATATTGTCAAATATTGACCTACCGGGAACACAGTAGGTCTGGTCAGGATGGATGACACCATCCATCACTCCTGCCAACCTGTTAGCCAGCGTTTTCGAGAGCAGTTTGTAGTCGCTGCAGAGTAGTGATACGGGCCTCCAGCACTTTATATCTGCCAGGTCGCCTTTCTTGGGCAGGAGGGTTAGTACTGCTCTACGGCAGCTCAGAGGCAGCTGGCCTTCAGCCAAGCTTTCATTCAAAACCTCCAGAAGGTCCTCTCCTAGTTCTGACCAGAAAGACTTGTAAAAATCTACTGGCAGACCGTCAATGCCCGGCGCCTTTCCAGACTCCATTCCTTGGAGGGCCTTGTACAGTTCAGCCATGCTCAAAGCACCAGAGATTTCAGTATTGACCTCCTCAGACACCTGGGGTAGATCGTTAAAAAAATCACTGTCACTCCTGTATTCCACCCCAATCTCATTTTTATACAGGTTTTCATAAAAACCGACCGCTCTCTTTCGAATGTCTGCAGGGTTTGTCAATAATCCTCCAGACTCGGAGCGCAGAGCATGAATGACTCTGCTCTGACCGTTCTTTTTCTCCAAGTTAAAAAAGAACCTGGATGGAGCATCCATTTGATCCACACTCTGGAACCTCGACCTGACCAGCGCCCCCTGTGTTTTAATGCCCAGTAAATCAGCCAACTGTGTCCTCTTGTTTGACAAAGAATCTAGATAACCCTGACCACCAGTTGACTCAACTAATTCTTGAAGTTTTAAAATGTCGGTCTCCAAGGTGTTCATACTCACATCTATCTCTCTAGTGACGTTTCGAGTATACTGCATACAGAACTGCTTTATTTGGGCTTTCCCAAAATCCCACCACTGTCGTAGAGAATTATAAGACCCCTTTATGGTTCTGAACTCATCCCAAAACAGCTTAAATGTACTTTTAAAGTACTTGTCACTTAACAAAGTGGTATTTATCTGCCAGTATGCACTCCTTGGCTTAATGGAGTTTAAAAACACAGAACACTGCACCATACTGTGATCAGAAAAACACAGTGGAGTAATTGAACATTTTCTTACAATGTTAAAGTGATGCTTTAAAACATAGAAACGGTCTAATCTTGCAAGTGAAATCACACTATCACGAACATGAGTCCAAGTATATTGTTTTTGTGTCTCATGAAGCTGCCTCCAAACATCACAAAGCTCATGCATTTTAACAAGCTGAACCAAACGATTACGAGAGGGCAAGTGAGGTTCAATATGATTCCTGTCCAAGTTTGACAATGTGCAGTTAAAGTCACCACCCAAAAATAAAAATTCTTCGACACAACCTTTTTGTAAAACTGAACACAAAGTATTTAAAAACAACATTCTTTCTATTTGTGCAGTTGGGATGTACACACAAATAAAAACAAATATATAATTCTCAAAAATGGCTCTTACTTTTAATAGTCTACCTTTAACTACTTCGTCAACCTGATAAGAAGTTGGACTAAAACTCTTAGCAAAAAGAATAGCAACCCCTCCGCTAAGTGAGGTGTTGTGGCTCAACACAGAGACCCCATCCCACTCCTCAGCCCAATCAGCAGCATTCCTCAAATCACTATGCGTTTCTTGCAGCATAACAACATCTATTCTTTTTTGTTTAACCATTTCAAAAATTCCTGCTCTTTTTCTCAATTCCCTTGCTCCATTTACATTCAAAGTCGCAATATTCACTTCACTCATACTTGGAGAAATGAAAAAGACTAAGAAACAAATCAGCACTCCACACACACACACCACATTACTAGACAGGCTATACTTTCTCACCTTCATTGGCACTATCAGAAGTGAGTTTTCTTACGATCTTTTTCAGTCGATATATCTCCTTATTTGTAAACAAACCTTCCGACATAAAGAACCTGGTTTTCTCAACAAACTGCTTTGTGTCTGAAAAATAATTATTTACACAGACCCCTCTCTTGTTCTTAGTAGCTTTTAAAAAAAGTTTAATGTCATCTACTTCAACACCTCGACTAGAGAAGTCACACTGAGAGAGACTGACACTTGAATCAGAAGACTCACTGTCAGTTTCACCATACAAATCCTCCACGTCAGCCTTCTTAGCTCTAACTGTCTGAAAATCGTCAGATGTTTTCCTTTTTGATGGAATTTTGAAATCGTTCTGCTCTGTCTCCATTTCAATGCCATCACCAAAAGAATCAGGCAGTAAAACATTAGGTACATTACCACTTTCTAGTACGTTCAAATTTCGAGAACGAATAATCAGTGTTTCAGCATCACTCAGTCTATTTTCTTCAACCACAATTGTGTTGTCATTTACCTGTGTCGCCGCAGTCTCGACCGCGGGCGGATTCTCCTCAGCCGTCACCGCCGCCAGCCGAGCCGCGTTAGACGGACCAGCCTCAACCGGTTCACTAACATTAACGATATCAACCGTCGCAGGAACATTTTCCTGATTTTTACCAGGGCAAGCACGGATTAAATGGCCCACTTCACCACACTTGAAACATTTCATCTTGTCCGTGGTAGCATAAATAACGTAATCGAACTCGTCAACTTTGAGATGCAATGACAGATCTAGATCTTCATCATCCTTTAGGATCATGTAAACAAATCTCCTAAAGGAAACCACATGTTTCAAAAGAGGAGATCCACTTCCAATTGGTATTTTTTTAATAGGTGACACCAATTTACCATACCGTGATAAAATTCTCACCAAAGTTTCATCACTTATGAAAGGCGGAACGTTCGACAACAAAACTTTTTTTGATGGCATAGAAAGTGGGAGAACATGAGTAAAAAGATTCTCAATAACTATACCGGTCTCAACTAACTCATTTGCCTTTTCAACAGAGCTAAGAAAGATGACAGTGGCACTGTTCATTCTAGAGGCCGACATGATATGCTCATGCCCAACAACCTCTCCTGCAGCCAGGCAACAGTCTTCCACGCTCACCGCGGACGCCACTTTAACTCCATGGCGCCGCGTGAGTTTACTCAAACCTTGCATACGTGGGTCCGTCATGGAGTTCCGATTCACAGAGAGAGAGAGAGAGAGAGAGAGTTAGCAGCTCTCTCTGTCATGTCCTATAATGGGACACAGACACACAGATACAGTGAGACGGGTCTCCTCCAAACCCAGAACCTGCTAGTGTTGAGGAGTGGGCATGTATTTTTTTAGCAATCAATTAAAGCATGTCTAATTAATTCAAATCATGTATTATGAACATTTAAGAAAAAAAAAAAACTGGCTGTAAAAAATAATTCTGCATTGTTTATCCTTTTGATCTTCCATTCAAAAAATTGGCAAAATTCTAACCTTTCATTGAAGCAAAAGAATTGAAAGTGGGGGTAAATCACACTATGAAATAAATGTTTTTCTCCAAAACACTCTGGCCATAATTGTTGGCACCCTGTTATTAAAAACTTTTTGGATCCAAGATCCAACCACGGCCAATTATAAGATTTCATTAGAAGTATATGAAATTTCATTATCATTATAAGTATTTTTACATTAGGACATATCTAAATTCTACTGTACAGCAGTAATACATTTCTGTCAAGTTAAATCAAACTTTTATTTTGACGGGTTGCTGTGAAGACCTTTTGAGTTTCTGTGTGAGGTAGATGATAGTTTCTCAAATGAAGCGGTTAAATGATCACAAAGTGACTTTCAGAATCAGAGTGGATCTAGAGCCTGGAGAGGAAGTCATGCATTTCTGTCTTCATATAGGTAAAAACCAGTGCAAGCGTCACAAGTGCTTCAGTGTCTTCAGTGTATGTGTGATAAATAAAACTGCACATCAGCTGCACCATTCATCACACGGAACAAGGCAAGCAGGATTCGTATTTAAATAGTCTTTGTGGTATAATATTCACACACATTGTGATTTGATTTCAAGTGTACTGAACCGCTTTCAAATTATTCTAATTACTCAAAAATATACAGTAAATTCCTTTTTATGACTGGATTTCGTCAGCTTTTTAGAGGGGGCGGGGGTCGTTTTTGGGAGGGCGGGCCGCCCCCCTAAAACAATGGTAGGGGAAACACTGACTCATCAAACAGCTGAGCTTCGTTCACAGTCTTAGGGAGGCGCGCGATGTACAAAACAATCTTCACAAACATGTCTAAGGATTTCCACACAGAGGAAAGGCCCGTACACACCGGGACGAATATCAGCGCGCGTTTTTTGTGTTCACACCCAAGCTTTTTTCGCTGACGATGAGCCGAGTGAACATGCAAATTCATTCCCTGACATTAGATGGGGCTTAATGTAAAACAAAAATAATAATAAAATACTATACTAGGGTGATCATATTCATGTCTCAATGTTTTATTATGACAGATAGAAAAAAACGAATGAAATAATGATAAAAACAATGTCTTCTGTATTAGAAAAATAAATATATAAATAATAAATAACTAAACGAAATGCCTCCAAATGTAACAAAAAATAGCTCTCACAAACTTACAAAAAAGAACTAACAAAATCTATTTATATCTTTAGTTTTCATTCTCTTTATCCTGTTTTTCTTCCTCATCCACCTTCTTTGCCCATCTATATTTTGCTATAGAACCGATCTTTCCCAGCAGTTTTTTTTTTTTTTTTTTTTTGAAAACCAGGACATTTCCATCACTTAAAAACAGCCAGGACAGGACGTGGAAAGAGGACATGTGTAACGCAAAGTTGAGATGTTGCCCAGAGATAAAAACATAGCAGTTGTCGGATGAACAGATGCACGAGAGATGAGAGTTGTCGTATTTCCCCACGTTTAATAAAGCCACTCAAACGTTACACTCGTCCTCATACATGGGGATCGAGCGAGAAAAAAAAAACACAAACAAATATCTGGTCACAATAGAAAAATAAAATAAAAGAAAGAATACAAAGAGTCGGCAGAGGTTATCTATCTCCTCTCCTCACTTGTCAAAATCTAACTGACACTACGCACACTATGCGCTGTAAAGCACAAAGTGACCGTTTTACACATGTCCCGGGAAAACAGGACTGTTGGTCACCCTATACTATACTATTATTACAGAAATACTAATATAAATATTATCATACAGCTCTTTATGCTCCGAGACCAGCAGCTCAACATTCATCTTGCCCATAGGTATCTTCACTTCTTCGCCGTATGTGTGCTCGGCAAGACCGTTTTGTGTTTGAGCGCCCTCAAGTTGTGTTTTACTGTAACTTCAGAAGTACCAGACACGTGAGCAAACCCGCCTATCTCGTTGGTCGGATAGGTTTTGACGCGGCGCGTCAAACCAAAAAAACGAACCCAAGGCGTTTTTTTAAAAATGACGCTTTTACGCGTGGCGTTTTTCGCGTCGGTGTGAACACTCACATTGGCGCCCATTGTTTACTCACGAGGCGTTAAACGTCGACGAATAACGCGCGCGAAATTCGTCCCGGTGTGAACAGGCCTGAAGACTTGCATTTTTTTGCCCAGCCATATTTATTTGAGCCCAAATACACGGGACACACGTCAGCAGCGTCACGGCAGACTCGTGAACCCGGATCCACAACAGAACCGGAAGACAATACAATGCTGAATAAAGTTTTTGTTATTTTTGACAAAATGTATTTTTGATGCTTCAAAACATTGTAACTAACCCACTGATGTCACATGGACTACTTTGAAGATGTCTTTATTTCCTTTCTGGACAAGGACAGTATACCGTACACACGTTCAATGGAGGGACAGAAAGCTCTCGGACTAAATCTAAAATATCTTAAACTGTGTCCCTAAGATGAACGGAGGTCTTACGGGTTTGGGACGACGAGGGAGAGTCATTAATGACATCATTTTCATTTTTGGGTGAACTAACCCTTTAAGTGATATAACTTCATAAAAGAGAATTCTACTTGTATTAAACCCAGGACAGTCCAATAAAATGTGTTTAACAGAGAGGGAGTCACCTGTGTCCATCTGCCACACGTATACGGAGCCGTCGGAGCAGCCCACCACGAGGTAGTCGTCACACGGCCTCCACTTGATGACCTGGATGGGGAACAGGTGTCTGGAGGCCAGCATGATGCACTTCCGCTCTCTCAAGCTCAGCAGACCCACGGAGTGATCGCTGGCCACCGAACACACACAGTGCTGCACGCGCGTCTGCAGAGAGAGAGTAAACACAACACCATGAGTGAGCAGAGGGGGGCGGGGCTTAGAGGCACTGATGCTGTCACTGATTGGTCAAGAACGATTATATTAAATGAATAACTCTGTACTATGTCTCATTTGTAAGTTGCAAAATCCAGCTTTTAATGTTGTTTATGCGTCTATGTGTTGTTTTTAATATGCTTTAAGACAAATCATGTGTAAATTCATAAGTGGACAGCATTGCTGAGTATTTTCTGCTTAAAACTGCAGTGAACCAAAGACAGTCTCAAAAACATTGCTGGTGTTTCTGACGTCACAAACGACCTTGTAACCAATCAGATCAATGTGTGATTGTCAACAGTGGATCTCTGAGCTGAGTGAGTGAGTGGAGGCGGGGCTCATTTGCATATTCATAGAACCACGAAAACTAAACAAGGCAAGGGTGTCGAGTTACATTCAAGCTGTTTTAAGAAGCATTTTTTTCAAGGAAAAAAGGTATAAATGCGTTATTTTGGAGATCAAAAATGAGTTTTAAGGCATAACATGACTGACAACAGGGTGACTTTAAAGTTCCTTTCAGAGCATGTAATAAGCACCAGCTATATAGTGGCGAGATTTTCATTCATAATAAAGATTAACCCCACACAGAGGCTATCCGATCGATCCTGTCTCGCTTTATTCACACTGAATGAAAAACGGCTGCTGCCGGCGATTTGAGAGATGCCAAAAACGTGGAAAAAACACAACGAAGAAATGCCAACAATGAAGGAGGAAATGATATCAGTGCGACTCGAATTAAAAAGCAGAGCATCCCACTTCATGTAAGGTCACTGCGTTACACAACAAATCCTGCAGGAAAGGTCAAACAGGACTTAAGAGAGGGAGACTCGGAGCGTTTCCATGACAACGGTGCAGGCTCTTTTTTTAATGGCGTTCCAGAGCCTTCGAAGCCTGACATTTAGCGCTGGACGTTTCAGTCTAATTGGTCACCAAGGTGAGACTCGGAGATCAGAAATTCTGCAGCCGTCTAGCGCCGATGAACTTTTCAATGTCTAGAGAGGAACCTTTACGGAGGAAAAAAGTTCTGGTGAGTAAATGACGTGCGCGTTGACCATAGACTGTAAAAAAAGATGGACGACATCCTTTGGCTCTATTCCATTGGTCAGAACTGAAGCCACCAGTATCTCGATATGGCGCTGACATCTTGAAACTTGAGTCTGCACAGAAGCGATTTCAGTACCAGACCTTCCCAGTCGTGAGCAGGAAGTAAAGCCGCGAAATCAAGGCCCCGCCCTCACTCTCGCAGAATCAATCGCAAGCACACACTCCTGCACTTATTATATAATAATATAATATAAATAATATAAAAAATTATTTGTAGTAATTTATATATTAAATTTAAAGCTCCAATCTCCTCAGTCCTCCGAAGATCCCGAAAAAGTCTGTTGTCGCTCAGAGAACCTGTAAATCACAGCTGTCAATCATGACGTCACCACCACCGCATCAAATAACTAACTAAAAACAAACTTATCTTAAAACAAACACTTGAAATTACATCAGCGTGATAAAAACTACCGTAAATGATCGAAATCATCTTTGGAAAAACGATATTTGAAGTGTAATTGAATTGTTTAGTTGGTCTCACGTGCCGTTAAATAACACAGGGAGGCGGGGTTTATGAGCTATAATAGGCGCTTTGGCTTCACTTTTCAGGGCTTGTGCGCCACGCTTGGTGTTGACAGGCGATGATATTCAGTTTCATAGAACCCTGTGAAATCCGTTTAATTTCCTTTCCCATATTCCATTTTTTTTTTTTTTTCATTCGAATTTTTGCTGATTCCATTTAATTTTCTGTTGTAATCTTTTGGACTAAAATAATGACATTTAAGTAATAAAAAAGCATGTCCAATCAATTGAAATCATGAAGTATTAATGAATTAATAGTTTAACAAAAATTACATTTTTAAGACCCAATGAAATACATTTCTGGAATACATTGTAATGGTTTAATTACAATTAAATACAATTAACAACATATTTATTACAATTTTAACAAAAATAACATTTAGTGCCCTATGAAATTGATTAAATTTATTTAAATTCGCTTTTATTTTTACCAAATTCTGTGTTTTCGGTTTTAAGTTTTATGGAATCCATTTTAATGCTTTAAATTTAATAATCAAAAGGCATGTCTAATCAATTGAAATCATGAAACATACAATTCAACGTCAATTTATTAAAAGTTTAAGTTAAAGGTTAAGTTCATTAGGTCCCTATGAAATACGTTTAATTTTTCTGTCACAATTTCTTAAAGTTAAACATAACTTTTGTTTTGACGGGTTGCCGTGAAGACCTTTGAGTTTCTGTGTGCTGATGAAGTGTTTCTCATCTCTCTTTGATTTATTCATCAAAATTTGACAAATTCAGTAAAAATGTCTTACAATAAAGTGACAAGCTATTCATCTAGATTGATTAGACAGCCATCGTCCTTGACCAATCAGAGCAAACATCTGGGCCAAAAAGCCCCGCTCACTTCCACACTTCACTTGTATCATTGAGGAGACTTACGCTGCAGTTTTCCGGAGGCACGATGAGCTGTGTGATCTCTCCTCCGTGCACGCAAAAGATGTGCTTCATCTCGCCCGTGAAAATGTCCCAGATGATGACGGAGAAGTCGACGCCGCCGGACACGAGCGAGCGCTGGTCATAGCGCGGCGAGACCTGGTGCGGGTACAGCAAACACGTGACCTTGTGCCTGTGACCTCTGAGGGTGCGATGAGGAGGCCAGCCTACAGAGAGAACCACGTTACACACACAGATACAATGAAGAAACAATAAAAACACACACACACTAGTTATTGTTAACATGTTGTTATGGGGGTGCAGTGACATTAAAATCATAATTCTGGAGAAAACCATGTTGCAGATTATACAGTTGATAGTACTAATAATAATGATAAATATAACAATATTATAAATGCAATATATTTCTAATATATAATAACAATAATATATTCTTTATTCACAATGAATAATAATATTGGTAATATTAATATTAATAACAGTGTGCTAATATTGAGGAACCACAATACTGGTCATTGTTAATAATAAACCTAAATTAAAAATAAAAAGATATAAATATATATACCCCATTTTGTAAGATAGGATAAGAAACCTAAATCAACTTAAGATTTGTTTCTGTAATACGATTTTGTGAAAAATCCTAAATTAACTGGTCAGATCTTAAAGGGACAGTTCCCCCAAAAATGTAAACTCTGTCAGTAATTACTCTCCCTCATGTTGTTCCCTGTATGACTTTTGTTCATCTTCTGAACACAAATTAAGATATTTTTGATTAAATCTGAGAGCTGTCTCACTCCTCCGTAAGCTTCTATTGTAATTGAAACTTGCCGGCTCAGAAAGTTATTTAAGACATCGTTAAAATAGTCAGAGTGACGACAGTGGCTCAACCTAAAACCAGTGGTTTATCAAGTGACGAGAATACTTTTTGTGCGCAAAAACATACAAAATAACGGCTTTATTCAACTATACGTTTCCTTCACTGTGGGCCTCGAGAGAGTTCACGCAGTGCAACAGCACTTCTGCGTCAGCACATGCAGGCTCACTTATTGGCCGATGCTGGTCATGTGTGTGATGCCTGTGACGTACAACCCAAAAGTGCTGCGCTGACTATTAATTAAGCAGATTTCATCAAAAATATCTTCAGTTGTGTCCCGAAGATGAACAAAAGTCTTACGGGGAACAACATGAGGGAGAGTAATTACTGACAGAGTTCACATTTTGGGGGTAGCCAGATCCAAATCCAGATTTAGGATAGCAAGTTTGGTAACACTTTACTTGAAGGGGTGTGCATAAGTCTGACATGACACCTTCATAATCATGACATGACACGTCAAGAATATGAAGGAGAAGAAAAATATTCATGGACAAGAAAAGGACAAAAAAAAAATATTCATGACACAGTTCTAATGGCCTCATGACAGCCAATGTCAAAACCAACCACGACAGATTAATGTAATGTTAACCCATAGAGTTAAAGGGATACTCCACCGGGTTTTCATATTAAACTATGTTATTCCCTTAATTAAGACGAGCTGATGCATACCTCTCTCGTCTCAGTGCGTGCACTCTATCGCTCTGTATTGCCGCAAAACTATGTTAGCACTTAGCTTAGCCCAGTGCATTAAATATGGGCCAGAAAGAGAAGTGACAAAACACTTCCTCGTTTTCCCTATTTAAACACAGTTACTCGATTAGTGTAACTCGACCTAGGCTGGTGACACAAAATAAAACGTTGTGTTTTTCTAAGAGTTTAAAATTGATGACTATATTGTATGGCGGAATACCATAAAAAAGTGCTTTAGAGCACTTCAACTTGGCGCAATAATACCTTCACTCGTGAAAAGTCCTCTTACCGGCTCCCGCTTCCTCGCTCTCCCCCTCCCTCTTATTTCCGTCAATGCAGCCAACGTGACATGCGACAAAGCGGGAGCCGGTAAGAGGACTTTTCACGAGTGAAGGTATTATTGCGCCAAGTTGAAGTGCTCTAAAGCACTTTTTTATGGTATTCCGCCATACAATATAGTCATCAATTTTAAACTCTTAGAAAAACACAACGTTTTATTTTGTGTCACCAGCCTAGGTCGAGTTACACTAATCGAGTAACTGTGTTTAAATAGGGAAAACGAGGAAGTGTTTTGTCACTTCTCTTTCTGGCCCATATTTAATGCACTGGGCTAAGCTAAGTGCTAACATAGTTTTGCGGCAATACAGAGCGATAGAGTGCACGCACTGAGACGAGAGAGGTATGCATCAGCTCGTCTTAATTAAGGGAATAACATAGTTTAATATGAAAACCCGGTGGAGTATCCCTTTAAGTGATATCTTAAGTTTGATAATTAATCTCCTATGTCATGTTTATGACATATTTAGGACAATTTGTGTTGTCTTGGTAATGTCAAGTTGTCATGACAAAGACACTACAGGTTATCATGTATTGGTTTATGTCAAGGTGTCATACCAAAAACATCTCAAACAATGTCATATTTGCATTCAAAATGTCATAATTGAGCGAATGACACTTAATGAAAGATGCATGCATAAAACCTTCATATTCATGACGTGTGTCATGTCATTAGAGGTGTAACGATTTTCGAACTGAACCGAAAAACCGCAATACTGAACTCACGATTAAAATCGCGATACTGTCATTGCGTACCGAACACGCCCCGCCCCCTGCAACCCCGGCCCCGCCCAGCCCGGCTCAATGGACCTCATGTCTTATGTGTACAGTACACAACGAATTCAGTTTTGTAACCTAACCACCATTAAAACCAAATAACAAGCTCCGTGTTTTGTTACTTTCAATAATAAGCAAGGTGTAATCTTTCGAATTCTGTCTATTTGATCACGAAATTCAAACAATAAATGGCGTTTTGGCGCTCTTTGATGTGGCGTGACAGATCGCTGTAGTCCTACTAGGCTCGTCATCTCAAGCAGCAGCGCGGCGCGCGAGTAAACGCGATCATCTCTTCCTCAGTAACAGAAAGGACACCTGAAGGTATGTTGAAGATATTAGTATACTTACTATAAGGCATCATAACTCGTGTAATCGCTCAATCAGTGTTTCAGTCGCGGAAAGACGTCAATAAAACAGCATAGCTTGTCACTAGCATTATATTTACCTCAATAGGCACGTGATTCAGTGTCCACAACTTCCTATAAACGAACTCTTGCACTAAATAAATGCACTATGTTAGCCTGTATATATATATTTTACTTAACCTGTTAATGATATCTTGATTATTTAATGTATGTTTAAAATATCTTTCATGAAAATGACAACTGTGTAAATTATTAGAGTAAAAACACAAGTTAATGTAAAAACTGCCTTATGTTCAGTTTACATGTTTTCATACAATGTGTTGTATATTGATTATTATATCTAAAAAATAAATAGCATCTGAATTTAGGTTAAAAGTCCAGGCTACAACCTTTAATGTTTTAGTAATAAGCGGCTCCCTATATAGTTTACAGCATTAGCAGATTTTTTTTGTTTTAATCCTTGTGAAATGTTTAATAGAGTGCCGAAGTGATGACGTCACTTTGTAGGACAACTCGGAAGCTAGCGCCGCATGGGTTCCCTCGGTCGAAAAGTTGTGACCCTTACACGTTTTGTCTAGCAAGATAATCTTTAAAAGTTAATCCAAAATTTATACATTTTGAAGCCTATAAAGATTTTAAAAAACACAATTAGGCACAATAAAGTTTAAAAAAAACACAAGCAGGTTATTACTGTGTGTTCTATGTCATAGATAAAAACGTGAAAATATTTAGAGGCTCATTTAGAGGCTTTAGAGTGTTCACCACAGACCTTATTTCAGGCGATTTAGCAAAATCCCATTCAAAAATCCCATAGGCTTTAAAGCGAGGGAACCGTAGTGCTAAAATGCTAACTCACTTCCACGTTTTGGCCTACAGAGTGACGTCGTAACTTCGGCACTCTATTGTAATTGAATTCATTTAAAGACAAAGTCTTTTTAAAAAAAAAAAAAAAAAAAAAGCTATTTTAGCTTTCTAAACCGAACCGAACCGAGACGTCAAAACCATTGGAAAAGCGAACCGTCAGTTTTGTGTATCGTTACACCCCTACATGTCATCATTATGAAGGTGTCATGTCAGTCTTATGCACACCCCTTCAAGTAAAGTGTTACGGAAAGTTTCTGTAATATACGGACCACACATGTTATTCTCACCCCGGCGCAGCATGTGTTCTCCCTGCAGGAGCTGAACGATGGCCGTCTGGGTGGCAGGAACCAGGATGATGCTGCCGTCCTCTCGCCCGCACACCAGCCGACCCTGGGACGGGATGTAGACGCTGGCCGTGACCTTCACCGGGGCGGTGGAGCCGGCCAGGACACTCAGCTGGTCAATGATGCCCGCTGGAGACGGCATCAGCTTATCGAAGGCCTCCTGGAGACTGATGCTGGACGACACCTGCAGCTCTGCCGGGGACACATACGATGATAAATATTTAGTTTGTGAAAAAGTAAAAAAAAAATGTTACAATACTGATTAATACGTTTAGTTTACGATAAAGTAAAAAAAAAAAGTTACAATACTGATTAATATGTTTAGTTTGTGATAAAGTAAAAAAAAAGTTACAATACTGATTAATACGTTTAGTTTACGATAAAGTAAAAAAAAATAGTTACAATACTGTTTAAAATATTCAGTTTGTAAAAACGTGTTTAAAAATAGTTACAATTCTGTTTAAAATTTTCCGTTTGTGAAAAAAAGTTTAAAAAAAGAGTTACAATACGGTTTATAATAATCACGGTTTGTTAGTTAAAATAGTTCCAATAGCATGTATAATATTCAGTTTGTGGGTAAAAAATGTTTAAACATATTTACAATACGGTTTAAAATAATCAGTTTGTAAAAAAATTTTCAATTATTAGTTACTAGGGCTGGGTAATAAATATCGATTTCTCGATATTAATCGATTCTCATTTTTACGAACCGATATCGATCCTTAAATCTCAAGAATCGATTAGTCATCCTGTTTCATTTGAATGAATAGGACATTGTATCGCGGCTGCGCGCATCCAAAAAAATCACAATCTTTGTCCTTTGTTACTATTGATATGAAACAAAGTCTCAATTTTCAAATTATGTCAATTTTCTTTAGAAATTCAAAAACATAAATACAATTTTGGCGCTGTGGCGTGAGATCGCTCTGGCGCAGCTCTAGAGAAGCAGCAGCGCTGATCTCTCTTCCGGGTTAATAATACCAGTCACAGCGCGAAATAAACATGAACGAGCATCTGAAAGTGTGTTAAAAGATAGAGTACAACTTATCGAAATCCGTATCATGTCACATTGATTCCCTCAATCAGTGTTTCAACCGTGGAAAGACGTCAGTTAAACAGCTTGTAATCAATGTATCGTCATATTTACCTCAGAAAACCCACATAAACTCGTTAGTCAGCTAGAAAAAATAACTCCAGAGAGGAACATTTTGCTAAATATATACACCATATTACATATGCATTATAATCTTAATGTTCTTCAATATTTAATGCATATTTGAATAAATCTGGCAAGTTTTTATGACAGCCACCATTTAAATGTTTATATTTCATATAATCTTCTTATTATAAAAATAAATAAAAGTGTAATTTAAGTGTCTGTATAGCTACAAAACAGTTCATGATTACCTTCATATTAGGCTAATGAAGCCTAGTAGGCTACAACTAGACTCCCATAGTTTACAGCATTAGTCTCACAACACAAGAGATTTGATTTCCTTGAGAAAATCTGCCATTTATTGTAACTGATATCCAAAATAATCAATATTGAATCGAATAGAAATCGAAAACGAAATTGAATTGAATTGCAAGCTTGTGAATCGAATTCGAATCGAATTGTGAAATTTGTGTTAATACCCAGACCTATTAAGTTACAATACTGTTTTTAAAATAGTTTATATTATACAATACTGTTTCTAACTTTCAGTCTGTGAGAAATAAAAGTTACAATACTGTTTAAAATATTCATTTACTAAAAAAAAAAGTAATTAGTAAAAAAAAAAGTAGTTACAATACAATTTGTGAAAATAAAATGTAAAAAAAAGTTTGTAAGTACAGTTTCAAACCGATATGTTCAGGTGTTTATTGTGAGAAGTGATATTTTCCGGCCAGTATGAGTGTCGGTCAGGGTGTGTGAGAAGCGCGAGTGCTGTACCTGTGGCGGAGCAGAGTGTGTGTGAGGGTGTGTCGTCCGGGATGCTCCACACCGTCAGGCGGCCGGCAGAGTCTCCCTGCAGCAACAGCTTCAGCAGCGGCTCCCTGCGGCCCAGGAAGAAGCGCGTCACCGGGGGACAGATCAGCAGCTGCGGAGGACACACACACACACACACACACACATCAACATCTGCACCACAGCCCAGCTCAGGACGAGTCACTGCACACACACACACACATGCAAAAAAACATCAACATCTGCACCACAACCCAGCTCAGGATGAGTCACTGCACACACATACACATGCACACACACATACACAAGCTCATACATACTCACAAACGTAAGCACACACACACACAAGACACTAAAACACACACTCACATGCACTCACTCACTCTCACACACACATAAAAACACACTCAAACACACACACACCACACACACACACACACACAAATGCACACATGCACATAAAAACTAACATACTCACTCACACTCTCTCTCTCACTCAAAAACAAACACACGCACAAAAACGAACACACACATAAAAACTACTCAATCACACATTCATTCATTCACTCACTCAGTCACTCACCACACACACTCTCAATCACACACTTCATCACACGCACACTCGCTCACTGACACTCGCTCGCTCACTCTCACACACACTCTGAGCCGCTGGATGTGCGCATGGATGCTGGAGCTGTTAAACATGAGCATCTGTTTCCTCATGCGGGATCATGAGGGACATCAGCCATTGTAGTGGCGACACCAACGCGTCGCTGGAACATGGACGCGGAATGAGTCGCTTTCTGAGTTACAGCTGATTTGAAGCTACTCTATTCCAGGGGTGTTTGGGTCCGTGGAAAACACAATAAAAAAGTCAAAAATGTAAAAAAAATAAGATCAAAATGAATAAATATATAAATATAATACAATTTAAAAAAAATACTAAAAATAGATTCAAATACATGAATAAATATAGCTGCAAGCAGCCATTACCGGGGCCAAGCGCAAGAAGCGGCAACATATGCCAAAATGGCAAGGAGTGGCAGACCAACTGCAGCAAGGAGCAATTAAGGG